AAAAATATTTAAAAATATATAGTTTTGTTTAAATACTAGTCTTATTTTTGGTAGTTATTTTGCTTACATAGGACTAGTTAAGCAACGTGTTCCTATTTCTCGGGTCTGGGCAAAAGAATAATATTCGGGTTTAAACTACCCGGTTTTAGGCCTAATTTTCGGACTTAGCCCATAATAAACCGTGTCCAGGACACGTGGAGAACCCCACCACGCGTGGGGCTCATTTTCATGGGCATTCCAATACAAAACACGGACGAAAGCCAACAGAAAAGGAGATTTTCGGATTTGAAAAAGAACAACTACTGTTCATCGTCTTCTTCTTCAACAAGAAGAAGAAGAAGCCCTAGCAGCTCCCTCCGTGAACAACCACACAGCCTTCCGTTCATCTCCCTGTCACCACCAAACAGACCCCAAACCATCGACAACCTCCCAGCTGCCCAAACGACCACTGTTCCTCCGTCTTCTTCAAAAAACCCGTCCAAAAACCCTACTGCGTCGTCAACTGAACCGGTCACACCCCCACGTCCACTGCTATCACGCAGCAGCTGTTGCTTCCTCGCCGGAACAGCTGCAGCATCAACGACCCTACTGACCACGACCAACAGCTCCCCCCTCATCGTCCAAACACCACCACCCTATTGTCCAAACCGCCATAACCCAGCCGGACGAGCAGCAGCTGTTGCTGCTGCGTCGTCACTGTCCGTCGCGCCACCAACTCCCTCCATCCCGTTCAGCTTCCCCTACTCACCCGTCGTCAAACTCCACCAGTCGAAAACGCAACCGTCAAACCTCCGTTCATACCCCAGCCCGGCGAGCAGCGCTATCGCGGCTGCTGCATTGCGTCGTCCAACCCTTCATGTCCAAACGATCACCTGGAAACGTCAACAGCAGCCATGACCCATCCTCCGTCCCTTCGCGTTCGAGTCTATGGTGCGAGCTATTCCGTTTGAGCTTTGATAACTGTTTCTATGGCTTCCCGTTTGAAGTCCGTTCGAGTGCCGATGTGAGGTTCTAGTTCGTTGGTTTCGTTTGCTGTCATCTCGCTGACTATGGTTCCGTTTCGGTTCGATAAATGAATTGTAAACCTCCAGCAGTGTTTGTCATTAGAGGTTAGTTTCTAATCTTTATTTGAGTAGATATCGGTTACTATCATGTCCGAGCTCAAATACATGTTATGATGAAATTTTTGTTTAAATCTATCGAGCTTTAGTTTTTTTTTGTGTTTATGCTACTGCTATCTCAAATTGGCGTGCTAGACGAAAAGTTGTGCAAGAAGTTTTTTTTTTTCATGATCGTGACTAATTTGCCGAATTTGTAGCCGGATTGATTTAATAAGTCCTATCATGATTTTGCTAGTCATTATTCTGTTGGTTGCCACATGGGTTAGTTCTAACGTATGCTCATAATTAATTATAGTTGGTCAAGCTTAAAACACTCTCTATTAGCCATACATCCTACTAGCCATCNNNTGTATTAAAAATCAGATAAATAAGCCAAATATAACAGTTGAGCGACCGTGCTAGAACCACGGAACTCGGGAATGCCTAACACCTTCTCCCGGGTTAACAGAATTCCTTATCTAGATTTCTGGTACGCAGACTGTAATATAGAGTCATTATTTTCCTCGATTCGGGATTAAAATTGGTGACTTGGGACACCCTAAATCTCCCAAGTGGCGACTCTGAAATAAACAAATAAATCTCATTTCGATTGTCCTTTAATTGGAAAAAACTCCCCTGCGCCCCGCGGGCGCGGGAAAAGGAGGTGTGACACCCTACACAACGTTGTTGACAATTAAAAAAGATTTTTAACATGGAATTTGTGAGACTAAAAACAAAGTGGTAAACAAATTTTTAGGGTTACGTACATTTTTGGAAGTTGTGCTATTGTCTTGGAGATTATAGTTTTCTTTTACAGCAAACTTAAATAGTGTGGTGAATATTAAAAGAAATTAAGATATATAGGAAATGGAGCTTCAGCAGCTAGTGAATCATGAGATGCAACATAGTTATAATACCAACAACAGCAACAATAGCGCAATTGCCAACTCTTTAACGCAAGAATTTGTGCATGAATCGAGTAGTCATCAAGGACCATCTTTTGATCAATCAAATTGGGGAGATATAAGTTTTCCTCAGTTCCATCATCAATTAGAGGATCATCATTTTCAAGCTCCATTGCATACCGATATGTTTCCTTTACACATGACTTGTTCATTTTCCTTCACAAACACAACTCATATATCTTCAGATGCCATAAGGGACTTACATACAGCGGATGGTGCCTCAACTTCAACTGCAATCTATGGTCCTTCTTTATTTCCTTTGAATCTTCCCCCAAATTCCCCTTTAATCAGAGAATTAGTCCATTCAACTTTTGGCTCTCTTTTTAATGGTATGGATACAGAAGTGAGTGGTGATTTATACCAAGATGCAGGGGAAGGAAAAAGTCGTTTCGATAATGGAATTTTTGAGTTTTCTGCAGATACGAGTTGTATGACAAAAGATAGGGAAAATAAAGAGATCAAGCATTTTGCTGCTGATAGGCAAAAGAGGGTGCATCTGAATGACAAGTACAAAGCTTTGAGAAGTTTGGTCCCTAACCCCACCAAGGTATTCATTCTTTCTTTTTTTTCAGAATCATCATTTGGATTCTTGAATTTGGTGTTGAGCATTGAGATTACATATTCGATTTGTTGTTTGATTATAAATATATATTGGAAGTTAATACTTGTTACTTGATCCAGTTATTGTTGCTTGTTTTTCTGAAGTTAATAGAGCCAACCCACAGTAGCTAAATCCTAGATTCGTTTACCAACATCAGAGTTCCAATATTTGCTTAGATAAAGTAGTGATCAACTAGATTCGTTTTATCTAGTATGACATTTTCAAAAATTTTGTTAATACAAGAATGATAGAGCATCAATTGTGGGGGATGCTATTATGTACATCAATGAGCTGAAGAGGACAGTAAATGAGCTCAAAATTCTGGTGGACAAGAAAATGTGCTGCAGAGACAGAATCAAGAGGCAAAAGAGCGGTCCCATGAATAGTGCTGATGTGAAGCTTAGGAATGAAGTTGATCGATCTTCATTAAGAAGCTCGTGGCTTCAGAGGAAGACCACCAATACTAATGAAGTTGATCGATCTTCATTAAGAAGCTCGTGGCTTCAGAGGAAGACCACCAATACTGAAGTTGATGTCCGGATCGTGGACGATGAAGTCACTGTCAAACTTGTCCAGCCGAAGAGAATCAATTGTCTTCTCTTTGTATCTAAGGTCCTAGATGACCTTCAACTGGATCTTCACCATGTTGCTGGCGGACTTATTGGCGATTGTTACAGCTTTTTGTTTAACTCCAAGGTTGTCATTTGATCTCCATTTTTTGCGTTTCAATATTATGGTATTATATCTATGTAATTGTATCAAATCTTGCAGATTTGTGAAGGATCTACAGTGTATGCAATTGCTATAGCAAACAAGCTCATTGAGATTGTGGATACTGAAATTTCACCATGTAATACCACTTCTACTCCTTTACAAGGTAATTTTCTTTCTGCCCTGGCTAAATTTTGATTTACCTGCAGTATCAAAGTACACCTAAAAATCAAAAGCCAATCATATGTCTGCATGGAAATACGACTACTTTGAGTATGTTTTTGCAGTCTCAACAAGTTATTCTAGTGGACCAGACTTATATTAAAGCATCACCAAGAGAATTCAAAAGAACCAGTTAAGATTTCAGAGCTTCGAGTTTCTATTTTGAGTTTAAGTTCTATATTCTGGTGGTATAAAAATTTTCACTCAATTAACTATAGGTTAAATCTTTATGATAAACATTAATCCGCAACCTGATAAATGGTAAATAACTTGCTATAATACACTGATCATAAAATATTCTGTTGCGGAGCAAATATGACATTATATTTCATATTGTTAAGTGTTTGTCCAGATTTTCTTACCATAATTGGTTTTCCTATCTCATGAAGGAAAGGACAACACATTATACCATAATTGGGTTTTTCTTTTCCTAAAAGGAAAATATAATTTTCCGTATTTGGCTAGTCCCTTTTCTTATAGGAAAAAGTTTGGAGTTCTATAAATTGAAAATCCATCATTCTCATTGAGTAACATCCACAATGTAGCTATATGGGGTTTGAGAGTCGTTTTTAGGAGGAGAACTTTACGGGACACGTGTTAGTGTGTCACTTTTGTTTGCTTTTTCGTGATGTTGTTCTCTCGATATTTTGTACTCTCTTCTTATATAGTAGATTGCTCATCTCCGCCGTGGACGTAGGTCAATTGACCGAACCATGTTAAATGTTTGTGTCTCTTTTGGTATATTTCTCTTTTATTGTCTGCCAGACCGCACTTTGTGGGATTTTACTAGGTGATTATTGTTGTTGTCTGATTTATCGCTGTTCAAGGTTTGCGTTACTAGCTTCCGCATGACACCTGATTATTTCGATCATAACACATATTACTTTCATCGAGCACTTGGATTTAAATCTTTTACTTGTATATCATCTTGCCAAAGTTAATTAAAAGAAAGAAAAAAGACAGATTATATGCATAATGCATGGTTTATCTTGATTTCCCACGTTTTGGTTTATCATTTTTTATGTAGTAATAAATATTGCGCTTGTCTATGGTTTTGCATGCAGATTGTCAGAGGCTTCTATACAAATGAAACCTTAGGTTGTTGAAGTTTGGCAAATTTGTCCCACATTGGTGGGCTCTTGAACTTTGTGTTGGATTTTTCCCCTATAAAAGAAAACCTAATGTTTATGATTTAAATACACCTCTCATTTGCCTTCTCATCTGTTTAAGGCATTTGTATCTTCTCTCTTTAGTATTATTTCACTTGTATTTTTGGAGTGAAATAAAATATTGGTTGTGTCCGAGGAGTAGGCAAAATTAGCCGAACCTCGTAAATTCTGGTGTTCCCTTTATTGTTGCTTTATTGTCTTATTTATTATTTGGTGGCTGTCATAATTTTTGGTATAGTAGTTGTGACTTATTCACACTATATACATTTGGCTTCCGCAACAATTGGTATCAGAGCCAAGGTACTGTCTAAGTATGCTCTGTGGTTGCAGCATAGTCTGATCTTCCACATCAGAAAAGATTTATCTTGGTAACTGAGTCAAGGTTCTGTCTGAGTATGCTCTGTGGTTGCAGCTTAGTCTGATCTTCCACACCAGAAAGGAAATAATCTTGATTTGTGTCGTCAGCTATTAAATAATATTTGTGTCAAAGATGGGAGACAATAAACAAGAAGAATCTACATCAAGTGTCAACAATACGTCATCATTGGCATCTTCGCTTATGACAAGAATTGTGTCAAATGCGAAATTTGCGGTAGAAATATTTGACGGGTCCGGACATTTTGGGATGTGGCAAGGCGAGGTTCTAGATGTCCTTTTTCAACAAGGGCTAGATCTGGCCATTGAAGAAAAGAAACCAGATGTTATTGGAGAAGAAGATTGGAGAATTATCAACCGTGTTGCTTGCGGTACCATTCGATCCTACCTTGCTAGAGAGCAGAAATATCCATACACAAAGGAAACTTCTGCAAGTAAATTATGGAAAGCACTGGAGGATAAATTTTTGAAGAAAAACAGTCAAAATAAATTGTACATGAAGAAGAGACTGTTTCACTTCACCTATGTTCCTGGTACCACGATGAATGAACATATCACCAGTTTCAATAAGTTGGTCACAGATTTGCAAAATATGGATACAACTTATGATGATGGTGACTTGGCCTTAATGTTGTTGGCGTCACTTCCTGATGAGTACGAGCACCTTGAAACTACTCTACTCCATGGAAATGACGAAATTTCTCTCAGAGAAGTTTGTTCGGCTTTGTACAGCTATGAACAAAGAAAGCGAGAAAAACAGAAGGGCGGAGAAGGAGAAGCACTATTTGTGAGGGGTCGTCCTCAAAATCAAACGAGGACAAAGAAGGGAAGATCCAAGTCAAGATCCAGACCCAGCAAAGATGAATATGCCTTTTGTCGAGAAAAAGGGCACTGGAAGAAAGACTGTCCGAAGTTGAAGAATAAGGCCAAACATAACAATGGAAAGGCCATTATGGATTCAAATGTAGCTGATTGTGATGATTCAGACTTCTCATTAGTTACAACAGAGTCATCAACATCATCAGACATATGGTTGATGGACTCGGCTTGTAGCTATCATATGTGTCCCAACAGGGACTGGTTCGTGGAATTTCAAGAAGGAGAATATGGAGTCGTCCACACAGCGGATAACAGCCCTCTTACCTCATATGGCATTGGTTCAATACGATTAAAGAACCATGATGGAATGATCAGAACATTGACAGATGTTCGATATGTACCGGATTTGAAGAAAAATCTCATCTCTGTGGGAGCCCTAGAATCAAAAGGGTTCAAAATCATTGCAGAAAATGGAGTGATGAGAGTATGCTCCGGTACACTAGTGGTAATGAATGCTAATCGGAAGAACAATAATATGTACCGCTATCGTGGAAGTACAATTATTGGGACAGCGACAGTAACATCCAGTGACGACAAAGAGGCAGAAGCAACCAAGCTATGGCACATGCGCTTGGGACATGCTGGAGGAAAATCCTTGAAAACTCTATCAGATCAAGGATTGTTAAAAGGAGTAAAGGCTTGCAACTTGGAGTTTTGTGAGCATTGTGTTAAAGGGAAACAGACAAGGGTTAAATTTGGTACAGCGATCCATAATACTAAAGGCATTTTGGATTATGTACACTCTGATGTTTGGGGTCCTTCCAAAACACCTTCATTGGGTGGGAAGCACTATTTTGTAACCTTTGTTGATGATTTTTCCCGAAGAGTATGGGTGTATACAATGAAGAGCAAAGATGAAGTGTTGGGAATTTTTCTCAAATGGAAGACGATGGTGGAGAATCAGACAGGCAGGAGGATCAAGTGTATTCGCACAGACAATGGAGGTGAATACAAAAATGATCATTTCAATAAGGTCTGTGAAAATGATGGCATCGTCCGACACTTCACTGTTAGACATACACCACAACAGAATGGAGTGGCAGAACGTATGAACCGGACCTTGCTGGAGAAGGTACGGTGTATGTTGTCCAATGCTGGCTTGGGCAAAGAATTTTGGGCTGAGGCAATTACATATGCATGCCACCTCATTAATCGTCTACCATCTGCTGCTATTGATGGCAAAACACCATTTGAAAAATGGTACGGAAAACCTGCTGTAGATTATAACTCTTTGCACGTGTTTGGCTCAACTGCATATTATCATGTGACGGAGTCAAAATTGGATCCAAGGGCAAAGAAGGCTATTTTTATGGGAATTACTTCTGGAGTCAAAGGATATCGCTTATGGTGTCCTATGACAAAGAAAGTAATATTCAGCAGAGATGTTACCTTTGATGAATTTGCTATGGTAAATAAGGTAACAGAAGATACCAAACAAAATGAAGGTGCTTCTAAGCAGGTGGAGTTTGAGGGAAAATTTATTTTTCCTACACAAGAAGCAGAGGAGGAAACAAATGAAGATTACCCTCTGGAAGGAGAGCCAGTAGAGGAGATTCCAACTCAGGAATCTCAACAACAACTTGAATCAATAGCAACCAGCAGGCCAAAAAGAACAATAACGAAACCTGTTCGTCTCATAGAGACGGTTGCTTGTGCAACCTCAATTGTAGCTGATGATGTTCCTACTACTTATAAAGACGCTGTCCAAAGTTCAGAAGAAGATAAGTGGAGGATTGCCATGAATGATGAAATACAGTCCCTTCATCAGAATCATACATGGAGATTGGCCAATCTCCCGAAGGGAAAGAAAGCAATTGGGTGCAAATGGGTATTTGCAAAGAAGGAAGGATTTCCTAACCAAGTAGATGTTCGCTACAAAGCAAGATTGGTGGCCAAAGGATATGCTCAAAAGGAGGGAATTGATTACAATGAAGTGTTTTCTCCAGTTGTAAAACATTCCTCCATTAGAATTATGTTGGCTTTGGTAGCACAATTGGATTTGGAACTAGTTCAGATGGATGTAAAAACTGCGTTTTTACATGGAAACTTGGAGGAGGAAATCTACATGACTCAGCCAGAAGGATTCAAAGTTGCTGGAAAAGAAAATATGGTGTGCAAACTTGAAAAATCGTTGTACGGATTGAAACAATCTTCTAGACAATGGTACAAGCGATTTGACGAGTTTATGTTGCGGCAAGGGTACAAGAGAAGCAAATACGATCATTGTGTGTATTTGCACAAGCTTAAAGATGGTTCCTTTGTATATCTTCTCCTATATGTTGATGATATGTTGATAGCTTCCAAGAATTCGGAAGAAATTGATAAGTTGAAGATTCAACTGAAGAAGGAGTTCGAGATGAAGGATTTGGGTGAGGCAAAGAAAATTCTTGGCATGGAGATAATTAGAGATAGACGTTCAAAGAAACTCTGTTTATCTCAAAAGGAATATTTGAAGAGAGTACTTCAACGTTTTGGCATAGATGACAAGACTAAGCCAGTTAGTACTCCACTTGCTTCCCATTTTAAGCTAAGTACTACTATGTCGCCAATGGATGAAGCTGAACGAGAGTATATGTCAAAGGTACCATACGCAAATGCTGTTGGTAGCTTGATGTATGCAATGGTTTGCACAAGGCCTGACATTTCACAAGCTGTTGGAGTTATTAGCAGATATATGCACAATCCAGGGAAGGAGCATTGGCAAGCTGTGAAGTGGATTCTACGGTATATTCATAATACTGTAGATGTCGGGTTAGTTTTTGAGCAGGAAGACAATCAGTCTGTAGTTGGATATTGTGACTCAGATTTTGCGGGTGATATGGACAAACGAAGATCAACTACTGGTTATGTGTTTACTTTTGCAAAGGCACCAGTTAGTTGGAAGTCTACTTTGCAGTCAACAGTTGCTTTGTCTACAACAGAGGCAGAGTACATGGCTATTACAGATGCTGTGAAAGAGGCAATTTGGCTT